GCCGCATTCTGGCTCGTGCTCGCGAGGATCGACTTTCGCTAAGTCACATGATGCTAAGTCACATGCGTTCTGCGCAATCTTGCATCTCGATGCACCCGTGTGAGAGACGCCGCTACCACGGGGGAATCGTGTTTTCCCTGACACTCGTACAGGTGTACAGAAGCGCGCTCGCGCGTTCCCGGCTTAGAGAGGTCGTAGACACGCTGATCGATCTGGCACGCCGAAGCAAACGGATCTTTCTTTTCGCCTTCTTCGTTCCCTTTCACAGCCACGTAGCGAACGGGGTGGCTCGGGAAAATACTTTGCTCGGCGATCCACTTTTCTTTTTTTCTTACATCCTCGAAATTCACGGATACACGGAGAAACTTAGGGAACGAGTTACGCGGACGGTCCTGCGTGCCTCGGTCTCTCGTACCTGGAAGAGACGTTAAATAAAAGATAGACTCGGTTCGAGGAGGAAAAACCCTAGAGGAAACGTTCTTACGATCGAATGTGCCTCGAAGTCGAGTATCCATCTTCTGTGATCCTAAAAGACGAGAAGGCTTCTCCGTGTGTTCGTGATCTTTGGATCAAGAGATTAAAGGCCACACACCGCGATTCTCTTGGTATCATTACGTGGAACAACACTCGATGTACACAGGGTGATTCAGAAATATATCTAAACACTAGGGGAGCTGAATATACACTCCTTTTGACTTACAAACGATCAAAGAAAAGAGTTTGTCCCAGTTTCCAGGACCCTCTGCAGAAGGTATCGAGTAAATTTCACGAATATTATTTGGGCGGGTCGAGTGTTTAAAAAACCGACATGTCGATGCTTACATAAAACGAATTTGCACGCACAACTCTCGTGGCGACACGAGCGTCAATGGCATTTATCACGCGGAGTTGTATTTGCATGTTGGGGGAACAGAGTCGATTAATTCTTATCGAAGGTATCGACGCACCTGTTCTTCTTTCTGCCCGTCGGTGATGTCATTGATACGAATGTAGAACCGTGATCAGACTCCATCCGTAAAAACGTCCTTATATGTCGCTCGAAGCGATCGTCCAACTTATCCCGTCGAACATCGGAACGATCATAATAAAAATTAATATCGGAGGTTTACGACGTGGCCGAGAGACCATTTAAAAATGAATATCGTGTCTTTGTACCGTCGTTGAGATCGTTTCTTTTCCTCCGTAGGTTTTGGTGTCGATTAATTCCATTACCTTGGAACAATTAAATTCCATCGTAAACGTTTGAACGTTTTATTACTCGCTTGCTTACGTATTTCGGTGTATTATTAAATTGTATAACGGTTACGTTTGCACGATCAGTTTTAATTTTAACTTTAATGGCATCGAAAAAGAAGATGGATGTAAAGGTACAGTAGTGTCGCGTTAATTGACCGAGCATCTATCGAGGGAGATCATCTTCTAGTAAATAATAAATAATAGTACTTGTTTATTGTTTACTAAAATATAATCGTATGTTTCATCCGACTGAAACTCGCGATTAAAGGTATGTATGTCGTCGCAAATAATCCTTGATTAAGGTGAGTCAGCTACTTTCGCCTAATTAAGACGCTGAACGAGTTTCGTAAAAAGGTAAATACGCGTAAGGAATTTTCGATAATGCCGTAAACTACTTCGTTAGTTGTTAGAGTGCAGTCGGTGTACTATCCTGTTTCAGTAATTGCGAAATAAGGGTTGTTACCCTTCTCGAAACTAGGATACATGAACGAAGTTACAATGTCTCTATTTATTCAAAACGTTGGATCGATCCAAGCTTTAATTTTTAAGCGAAAGGTGATTAAACAGCGATGACACGGAGGTGTGGTAACATTTGCATCCAAACAACGAGCATGTTGCTGCAGAGTAGGACAATTGCTTTCAGAACGACGACAGAAGACCATAAATCAGGCATGTCAAACGCGCAGCCTTCGGGCCACGCGTGGTCTCATCCATTATAGTTTACCCTCTGACCTTTTTATTATTTTCTGCCCGGTTGAAAAATTTATTTTATTCCGTGCTCACCGTCCACACTCAGAGGTATACGTTTATGTAGAATAAATTAAAATTTCGTAGCGGGCGGTGTTTTCTCGACACCGTTCCGTATTTGTGTCGACTACGATCGAACGTTGTAAATAACCTAAATGTTACGTTACAAGCGGTAGTTTGTCCAGTTTGTCCAGATCACGCGGATCTGGTTTGATTTCGCGCATGGTACCGCCCATTGTTCTACAGAGCTTTCTCTTCTCCGTGGCTTCTCGTACTCCACTTTGGATCGAAGAACGTAGACACGTGAAAAGGGGACCGACGCGGAACGTATTTATCGGAGCATCGATCGATAGCAATCTAAATAGCTCGTTTGTCTGTGGAAGGTAGATCTCGACGCTGGTCGAAGCTGAAAACTCAAGAGTCGCACAGGTCCTCGAAACGAGAACGTCAGCCTGCCAGCAGGAATAAGCTAAATTTTTAACGAGAATTTTGTAGAATATTTCTGATAATTACTTTTATTCGACTATTAAATTCGAAAGCTAAAATTGTGATCCTGCGACCCGGTAAATGGCCAATCGCCAACAGGACATAGAACAGTGGTCATAACAGGATACGACGGTTCAGGATACGCAGGCTAGACTCGCCAGCTATGAATCATGCGGCAAGCTATGCAAAAGAATGAAAGTTCCGCAAAGCGGTGGTCGTAGACTCGATTCTGCAGTCAAAGTACATCGATGATATTCAATACTATTTTAAGGCACCGTGTAAACGGGAAATTTCTGCCTACTCCAACGAAATAGGGTTTTATAATAGCCTCAAGTCTACTAAAAGTACAGAAGAAACTATGGACCATCTATCGTTAAAAAGAAGCAACGCATTTGAAAGGGAAAGCAATAATTAACAAATAAATATGAGAAGTTGGAAATGGTACGGAAAGGGAAAAAGTATCATCATTAATTTTCACTTCCTCATCTCACTTCGTCTCATCTCGAGCGTTATAAAGTGCATTACACATCGAATGATCTCATCGAGCATAAAAAGATAGACGAGAGTCGCTCGTGCGACAGATTACCGGTTTATTAATCCATAAAACACGTGTTTCTTTTCTTCGTATAATCTCTAGATTTGAAAATTGTGTTCGATTTGTTCCGGAATCGTGTCCTGTTTCTGCATCGTAAAATTCGATACGTATACGATATACGACTTCTCTGATTTAAATTTAGATCGGCTAGACGCTCCATTCAGATAATAATGGCGCCCCGGTCATTTCTGTTCTCCCACGCGGACAGCTTTGGACAGTCGCGTGCATTACGAACGCAGCCTCCGTTCTAATGGACGTTGTTCGTTACAGGACGAAATGATAGCGCGCCTTTTATCCTACCGTGTTCCGTAAAATTGTTGGAAGGAACGCGCGATGCCCGCCATCCATTTCCATAACACTCTGACGCTGTCGCGTACACGTGACACCGCTCTTTGGCCGCCATCTTACTCTTCACTCTACCTCTCTATCATTTGTTTAGATTCGTTGTTGTTGATTGTTAGTGTTGATTTTTCAAAAAATCACTGCATCTTAGATCCATGTTTATTCTGACCCAAAATAATTCTTATTCGTTTACACTTTTACATCGAGTTCCCGGATCGTGCAAACACTTATGTACCTCGATCAACCTAAGTAAAAACACTATTCGATAGCGTGTGATACACGAACGAACGATCGCCTGTCTTGTTAACCATTTTGGCTCGAAGGAAAATAGAAGAAAAACAGAACTAACACGGGCAACGTTTGTCCCAGTGTAAAACAACGTATCCACGGTTGTAGAACCAGCACGAACGTTGAAATAAATAATTGTTCGAGTCGTGGTTGTCATTTCGTCGGGGCTGTACAAGGTCCAGCAACGTGTGAACGAAACAGGCCCGAGTGGAAAGAACTTTCGATCCTTTCGTTGGCGATTTATCGGCGCCTCTGTTCCCCTGTTTCTCTGTAATTAATAGCGACTGCCTTTTACGGTATTAATCCTCGTTTGATATAATTCACCCAGCGGTTCATTGTGCCCGCGTATGCAGAAAGTGAGAGGACATACGCTCCTTGGTAATAGGTTGCCCGAGATTACTTTCACAACGGGAGCAAGGTCTTATTTTTTCGAGCGGATGCTTCGTTGTCTACTTTCATAGTTTCGGTGGAGCACCCGACTCTGTACACGCGACCGAACCAAATTAAGATTATATTACAATCACGAGACATTCGTTGATATGCAATACACATTTCGCTTCTGTAATTTAATCGTTTTCGATCGCACTTTCTACGCGTGTTCCTACATGCTCTTCGATGTACGATTCTTTTCGCACAGTTATTAATACTAATTTCTCTAATTAAATCTAATTTCACTCGTACTTTCTAGATATTAATTCTTCCGAGTGACTTCGATTCTAATTATCTTCTTGATCATAATAAGTTCCGAAATGAAGAAACAAAGCAGCGAGTAGATACGTAAGAAAAGAACGTACTGATTGTTAAGAATCAAATGGTGTGTATCAATTAGTATACGTTTATTGTAGGATTTAATTATAATTAGACGGAAATATTAACTTATGTAATTTAATTATTTTCTTGGGATATTTTGTATTGAAACAATTTGAAAAGAAAATTATAATACGTTAACAAAATTGTTTGCAATATCGACTGTGTTTAACACTCAAGAGGTTACAAAACAGAGATCTATGTTATCGCGTCGTAAATATCAAAGATAGTAGCGCCATCTTTCGTATGTGATCCCATACAGGTTCGAAACTTGATGATATATGAACGAATATATCAGCATTCGATACATAGTATTAAAAATATGATTTATTCGAGAGTACAGAATTATACGTATCGAGCGAGTAGCAAAATTCTACAACAATGTTATTTTTTCATTGACAGTGCTATCGTTGAAAATGTTATGCGTGAATCGATTAATAACGAAGCTTTATAATTTTTAAAAAAGGTTTCGTGGCTGATAAATTTTACTCTAGCCACTTTACATCATCATCGTCGATGGTATTGCCGATGAACTTGACGGAGTAGACTGCGTCGTTGACGTCGACGTTGTACTTGATGGCGTCGATGACGAAGTTGGCGACATTGACGACGAACTTGACGTTGTCGACGTAGGGTTTGTCGATCCATGAGGCAAATACAACTCAGGGCATTTAATGGCGCAGGCAAGGTTCATTATGTACTCCGTATCGTCCGTTGAGTCGCAAAAGTTTACGCAAAACGCGTGTCGTATGGGTTCCAAAATATTAAAGCCGAATCTCGGTGTATTTACGTCGATCTTTCCTTGCAAAAGCACTTCCTACATTATACAAGAAAAATATAAATATTTATCGCTTGGAACAGTGGTGTTTAAACTGGGGACCACAGATAAATTTGTGGGAGTCTTTAATTTACCCTTTCAGTGATGATAACTCTTAAATACAAAAAGAGAAGAAACCCTTAAAATATAGGTACGAAGTATACTCGATTAACTTTCAATTAAAAGAAAATTAAATAACAGTTTTAATAAAAGCTGTTGAGATTCTCGTAAAAACACTAAAAACTATGTCAAATCTAACCTGTGACCTGACAGATCCGATCAATATCAGCAAAGCAATCCATGGTACGAAGTGTGACATAACGAACTCGCTCTAAGAGAATTCAGACGGAAAGTGACACTGGTAATATTTTCCAACGAATGTCTTGACCAGCTTATATACATACACCCGGGGCCCTGAATCGTTGAAAAATTCATACTTGACCTATTCTTACTATTTTTGATTTTTTTCAACTCGGAAACTATAGCCACCTTTTGTGGCAGATAACACACAGAATGCTTATCTCGATGCTTTGTGCAAGTTCCTAACAAAGTAGCAGCACCTTACACACATTAATAATAGTACCTATCATTAAATAAAATACAAAACGGATCGATCTAATAAAAAACAAACTCGAACACTTTTCAGAAAATGAATATTTGGGGACAAATCTTTTTTATGTTCTCCGTTAAAACAAAATATTGCAAAAGAACTTTGAAAGTCGATTGTAGCAAGTTTCTTTAACGTTCTGCCTTCATGCAAATCAGACTTCCGTGCGTGACTAAAGAATGAAGGAAAACTTCATGGTTATGGTTGTTAACGTATGGTTTGTTATTAGTTAACGTCGAGCAAGATCGAAATTTATTGACGTGTACGTAGGTATGACTCGAATCTGTAGTCACGCTGTTACTTATCGTATCAAAAGCCCGTGCCTAATTATATGCAACCTGGTTTGCATCTGTGCACGGAGCTATCGATAGTCCGCCATTGTCTGGCTTGATTAAAACCTCCATGGAAAGAAAGTGTTCTGAATCCTATCTATCTAGAACTGTTAAACGATACCTTACACCTTGTTGCAACATCGAGTGTGTAACAAACATGTAACAACAATGCAATTTAATTAAAAAAGAGTACAGAATAATTAGGAGGTCGTTTACTCGAACGACTCCATCGGTAAGCTTTTAATACCTTAAAAGCTTTCGCCATTGAGTGTAAAGTATCCAGTTACTTATCAGTTATTCGAGAAAGGGAATGAAAAAAGCAAACTTTATTTCCAGTCAACTGCGAAAAATAATTACAGCATCACGCGTATCCGTTTTTCTGGGCATTCATAGAAGGGTGGTTCGAAGATTTGAGGATGCATATAAGGCGTCGATTATACTCGAGTTGCGCCTATGACCTTTCACGCAGAACTGCTTAAAGTTACGTCAATGGTGTGCATTGTACGAGAGAGCTGACTGGTTGGAAGGCGATAGACACCACGTGATCGCGCTACCAATGACGCCGGGGGATACCAGCGGGTCGATAACAATGAGACCGACAACGAAGCCTCGGGAATATTCTCTTCGCCTTGGTCCAGCGCCCTGCCCTTACATTTCCCGTCTCTGCTCCTCGACGTATTGCTATTATCTTCCATAACATCGTCGAGCACCGCGCGGTTGTACTTCTCCCGTTTTTCATTTCTGCCTTCAACGTGCAACGCCGGAAGAAGTAGGTCCGGAGGACTTCAACTCTTTCGCCTCACGGTTGAATTTTCTGTACGGTTCGCCAGGCATTCGAATCGATTGCTTACGCGCTCGTCGACTGACCAGTTCTACCTCGATACCCCGATTTCGGAATCTTTTCTTCGCGTGTCTTATTTACTGAAAGCACAGACGAGGTGTACGAGCAGACCTTACACCTTATGGACTTTCGTGGCCCAATCCGACTGCTGTACCGACCTGAAAATTCGGAGGTGATTTTAACGTCCTCTTCTCATGGATGGCGGTCAGTGGAGAAACTATTCACTGAATTGGTATTGATGGGCAACAGTCGTGGTGTGTGGGTAAATACATGTGAGTTGACTACGGGAGGGATTGAAAAAGGCAATCCAGTATTATCAGACGGCAGACCGGTGCCTGAAGGAAACTGCCCCTCCACTTACACACACTAATGCATAGCTACCTTGTGTATGAGTTCTGACGCTTCGTATAGCTTCGATCATTTATGAAATAGAACTCATGAATACTGACAAAAAAGTATTAAACAACGTTTTCGTAGACCATCAAACAAATTTATTAAAAATCAAAAACAAATTTTTAAGAAAAATCGACAGAGGGTAGGAGGGCAAATTCGACGAAAAAAAAAAATTTCAAATCGTCCTGGAAAAATTATTTTCGGTTGCAGGGATTAATTACAATCATTATTGTTGAATAGACATACCCTCAAATTCCTAACCATTTTCGAGAAAAAAATTCGAGTAGATCAAATTTTTCGACAAAATTGAAAAATTTCAAATCGTTCTAAAAAAATTATTATTGGTTGCAGGGGTCAATTACAATCATTTTTGGTGAATAGACATGGCCTTGAAATCCTAACCATTTTCGAGAAAAAAATTCGAGTAGGTGATCAAGTTTTTCAACAAAATTGAAAAATTTCAAATCGTTCTAAAAAAATTATTTTCGATTTCAAGGATCAATTACAATCATTTTTAGCGAATAGACATACCCTCAAATTCCTAACCATTTTCGAGAAAAAAATTCGAATAGGTAGTCAAATTTTCGACAAAATTGAAAAATTTCGAATCGTTCTAAAAAAATTATTTTTGGTTGCAGGGGTCAATTATGATCATTTTTGGTCATTACACACACTCCCAAAATCCTATGCATTTTCGAGAAAAAAATTCTTTACCGAAATTATAATGTGTGGCCATGTTATTTAAAATTTCTGTAATTTTATTTTCTGTCTCACTTCTTCTTGTGTTCATTTCTGTAACCTGTTGGTAATGTTGCGAGTGACACGAGAATGGTAATGGGCTCAAGAGTCCCCCTCTTCGAAAATTACTGGAAAAAATACATTGGATGTCTTCTCGTATACCTCGTCTGTTCTGAAAGAATCGATAGTCGTGTATCGACGCAAGGTTCGAGAGCTCGAGGTTATCTATATGCTTCATTATTGGGTGTATTGCCTGTTTCACGAAACATTGACGTGCTTTGATCTTACATCGAGAAATCATTTTGCAGTATGTTATACCGTGGAAAACATTCTGGAGATAGCAACAATTATTATATGTGCACCCAGAATCGATAAAGGGTGTGAATTATCATTGAATGGCTTCCTTACCGAGTATGGATAATGCAGTACACTTTTCCCCTACGCCATTGTTATAATATAAATAATGATACTCTTTTTGCCAAATTAATGTTTACGTAAAACCAGATAAATTTATATCGAAAGGTTCCCAGTTATTTATATATAAATTACGAACAGACGAGGTACAAGTTTTCAAGTGACCAAAGTCGGAAGACAATAATTACAATTTTGAAGACAATATAATGAAACGTAAGATTTATACGAATCTGAACGAGCAGCGAAATCACGATTTCTACTAATTAAATTCAGTTCTTGCCAGCGCCGGGAAAGATTGTCATTGCGGAAATTCTTAGGCCCCGCAATTAGTTGTTTTGTGCCAGTCTCCAGCCAGGCTCCTAGTAACGGGGAACATTATTCGTGAAAGTAATTGAACTCGTTATGAAACTCGTCTTTCAAGAAAGTAATCTAACCATGGTGGGGGTTTCGTAATTCTCGACTGAATCCCTAATTGGACCCGCATATGCCAATCGATCCTCCTTCAGTCACGCACCGGCTCGCGTTCAAATCGTGGGAGAGAATAGGACAACGAATGACTGCTGGTCGACATTTAACGCTGAACTTTTCAATGTTCACGCGAACGATCGCCAATGGATACACGACAAACTGCCAATTCACGTATTTCATAACTAGGGAATTTTTATTTCATTCCACTCGATGCGCAGAGGATAAAATGTCCTACGGCGCAGGAACCCGATGAATGGAGAGTATCTGCAGTCGGTAACGTCGCGTCGCAACATCGAATTTTTTATGCATAGATTTCCAAGAAAGATGTTTTAACCTAGAACCATAATGTCCACTAATTTTTGTCTAACAAAGCGACAACTATAGAACTATCCCCAACTCTGTCGATAATAAAATAACTAGCGTTCCTGGGAATCCCTGGGGATCAGAAATCAAAAGTTACGCGAGCCAACGTTTACAGGGAAACCAACAGAATTGATCTTCCGTGTGCTGTTGGGATCATTGATAATTCAGGGCGAATTCGCGCAGTCGAGGCGACGGTACGCTTCGAACTTGGTACGAAACCTGATAAAAGAATGCTCGTACGGGTTGATGGTGTGAACCCGCCTTAAAACCGTGAGTCCTCGAGCTAATGGCCATAGCAGTCCGTACCATTCCGGTTGATGCAAAGAAAGGGGAAAAAAACAGAAGTCACGTCTTGACATCGGTTAGCAGTCGCATCGGTAGCCGAAGGAAGAAATGTACTCCGGCTGATAACTAGACGAGAGGACCCAGTTAATTAGCCGCACGGTTAGATAACGCTCTTTATCTAGATCGTGCAGAACGATCGGGGCTGTGCAGCAGCGCGAACATGCACCAGCCACCAGCCAGTCGACACTCGATTGGCGGAGTGCGCGGCGGAGGATGGAGGAGAGAGCAAAAGCGACGAGGGGCTGTTAGATGAGACGAGGGGAGGCGAGGGGGAGGGGGAAAGGTGGCGGAGTTCTCGTTCTTTGCAGAGAACTCCACCGGTAGTCGCCTCCTTGACGTTCCTCTGGGGGGTTTCAAGCTCGCGCGTGGGAGTAGAAGCTGATAGTAGCGTGGGGTGCATATCGAAGGGAAGATGAGAGTGGGTGGAAGGAAGGAAGGGTGGGCGAGGTTGGGTAGGTGGGTTAGGTAGGTGGATGGGTGGTTGGTCGGTTGGCTAAGTGGTCGGGGGACGATCGGGGAGTAAGAGAGACGGCGTATGTAAGTACGCGAGCAAGGAGCGCGGCAAAGGGCAGTCGGGGAGGTTAGAGGCCTGGAGTGGGGTTGTCGAGGCGTGGGTGAGCCGTGAGCCGAAGCCATCGGTTCCCGAGGGAGAAAAGGAACGACGAAGAAAGGAGAAAGACGGGACGGGGTACGCGTAGACGGTGGTAGAACGGGCCGGAAAGAGGGAGGCTACCAAGTGGAATGGAAAAAGAAAGGATACGACGCTGAGAGGGAGATAAATGAACGGCCGTCGGCGGGGTGGCGGGGGGGAGGTCGACGGGTACGGTCGT